GAATGCCTGCATTAAAAAAAAACAACTCACACAAAAAATAAGCCACATTATGGCTAGGCATGTTGTATAAAACAACCATTCACACAGCGGTCAACTTTTATAAACAGTTCTTTCCTATTACAAAAATTACGTCTACAACTTATGGATCGACCTTAGCCTCAGGAAATGTGGTAAAATCCCGTCCTCTGGCTTCAAAAAATGCTGTTAAGTAGCTTCCCAAGTGCTTACATTTTGCACCAAGTAATCACTTGGCAGATGGCTGTCTCTTGAAAGACCTTGCTCAAATTAGCTTTCACTGAGTTAAGGATTCTGGGCACCAACGAAGGAAATAGCCTTACAGTATGAGCTCTCTGCATGTTGAAAAGATACTAAGAGAGCATTTTTTTTTTTTAAAAAAAGGCTATTTTAAGACACTTTAAAGAATCTTAATATCAGTCCAATTACTCTCAGCAAGCAAGCAAGCCGATCAGTTGGACATGAAAAAAAAAATTAGAGTATGGCAGGAAATGCACACACATCATTTATGAGGAAGCAACATTTCTGGTTGGCCCTTCTTCAGCCTCACTTATTTAATTTCCTTGACCGTTTGCCAGTTATGAGTAATGTGAATGCAAAGTCAAAGATAGCCCGTCACTACCTTTTTTGTACTAAACCGTAAAGTTAGGGTGCAAGCAAATGGATCAGATCCCTCTAAAGCATTTGTTTTAAACCCTCATTCCGTAAACCATCATGTCTACCCTCCTAACATAGATAGCACTACTTTAAACCCAGGTGTTAAAATTGCAGCCCAACAGCCTGCTAGCGTTTAAATCAGTTTAATCCTACTGATTTGATATCCACGAACATGCAATTGGCATAATTTAGAAAGATCCATTTTCTTTTTTAAAAAAAGTTGTTAGTGTACTTGTTTAACTCTAATGAGAATAAATATGATTAGCTATGATGGCGGCTCAATTCCTCTGGCTACATATATAAGAATAAGGAAAGGAAGAAGGTAGGACAAGAAGCCATGGGTGGAAGTTTGACAGAGAGAGATCCAAACTGGAAATAAGGAGGAATTTCCTGACAGTGAGAATATGACTGATCAATAGAACAGCTTGCCTTACGCAGTTGTGGGTGCACCATCGCTAGAGGTTATCAAGAAAATATTTAACAGCCATTTCTCCAGATTTTTATAAGGACACCTGCCTTGGGCAAGGGATTGGACTAGGTAGAATACCTCAAAGGTCCCTTCCTCCAGCCTTGTTTACAAACAGAAAGATTTGCTAAAATGAAAATACTAGAGAGGATTGCTTAATACACCTAAAGAGTTAAATCATTCAAAGAAGTTGAATATTAAATTCCTTCCCAAGAAAGAAATGAGTGGAAAGATTCACAAAAAGCAATTATGCAAAATTTTTGTGTGGATTTCATCTATTTTCTTCTTGTTCGAAGACCAAACTTCACTAACCAATTTTCACAGGGCTTTTTCATTCATTAGCTAATATATAAAACACCTCGTTAAGTGTGATTCCAAAAAGATTGATGATTTATTCATACTGCTTGTTATATGAAGACATAACAAACCATAGTTTACAAAGTATAATCGCTGAATCCACAAAAGCCATAAATCAAACCCAAACACAGAACAGTATGGCTTAACCAATATGTGATTTCAGCTTGTAAAAACCTAATTACTGCCTACATTACAGTCCGGTTTTCAACAAACTGAGAGAATTGGAGAGAATTTCTCTCATATGTTTCTTATGATGCAGAAACAAAAACTGACCTGTACATACAGATTATGTTCACATAAATGCTTAGCTATATTATTTAAAAATATAGCACATGTATTTGTATAACATGCTATTGTAAACCATCCAGTGTCAGTGGTAGTGTAGAAATTAAATATACATCTGTGTATGTATGTGTGTATACATATATACACACACACACATACACATGTATGTATGTACATATGTATATGTATGTATGTATGTCTATATCTATCTATAGTGTGTGTGTGTATAGATATTGATACCATGAGATTCAAGGATTAAGCTAAATGCATTGTTTTTCTCTTTCATTATATAGTCTTGATACATATTATTTCAGTGTAATGTATAATATAAAAATAATAAAAGTTAACATATTTCTTAAAAGGATTAAGGTATTCAAAATGAAGAAATGTAAAATTTCTGTGAGCATTAATTATGATTTGGGATGTCAATATTTCAAGCATAAATTATTTAGCTTCTTATACAAATTAAGCATAACTTTAGAGAAAGGAAAAAAACCCACTGCAGCTTACATTATATGATAATATTTTCAATCTTAAACTAATTATTTAATATTAAAATATTTACAGTATACTATAATTTATACCCCTACAGCCATACAAAGGAAGAGTGTTGACGAAAAAGAAAGAGGATAACCAAAGCATGTTTATGAAAGTTAAAATATCAGAAAGTTAAAAAAGGAAATAGTTGGTATATGCATTATTTTAGACAAGTTTAGATAAGTTCTAGTGTGCAGTTGTGTTGAAACTAATCAACTAATAAAACTCTTCAAAAGTACTAGGACTTCTGAGTTGTCCTTGGTGCCTGGATTTATGCACCACTGACTGAACCATAATATGGGTTGTTTTGGTTTAAGTCTGTTGCATGAACAAAACCCTTGTTTATGAATCATTGCTTCCATATCAGAAGATATAAAGAGAGCTGGCCCATAGAATTGCCAAGAGTCAGACACAACGTAATCATCATCACTTACAGCTTAGTGTTTATTCAGTAAACTATGGTTTAGGAAAAGTATTGTGTTAAACAGCTTAATGATGTTTCTCTCTACTGTACTCCATAGCTGCAAAACTATTTTATTTGGGTTGTGCAATGGCAGGCAATGGCATTTAATAAAGAATGGGAAACAAGGTGTGAACAGTTTGTGGATCAGAACAAGGATATTTTGGCGATGGAAGAAGCAAGCTGTCTGGTTGGGCTCTTAAACAGATTTCTGTTTCCCTTTGAAAACATTTTCTTTGAGAAAATGAAAAGATATATTTTGTTATAGCAACAGCACTTAGACTTATATACTGCTCTATAGGGCTTTACAGCACACTCTGAGCGGTTTACAATGTTAACATATTGTCCCCAACAATCTGGGTCCTCATTTTACCGACCTCGGAAGGATGGAAGGCTGAGTCAACTTTGAGCCTGTCAGGATCTAATTCCAGACTATGAGCAGAGTTAGTCTGCAATACTGCATTCTAACCACTGGCTTATAGCTTCCTAATATATTTTCTAATACTTTATCAGAGAGTAGCAGGAGAAAACAATTCCTGTGCCATCCCTTTTTTTCTTGAAATGATAGGGGGCAGCTAGCATTATTAACATTTTGCTTTCAGTATCACCTAACAGAGGCATATATCTGAAATTATTTTAGCAACAGACCTTTGTCCAATTTCAGCTATCAAGGGCTATCACTTGGAAAAGGAATGTAACATGAAAAGCGAACGGCAGTCAGTCAAACTTTCACACATAGGGTGCAGGACAATAACAGCTTCATTCACCACCATACCCCAAATAAATGGATTTGACAACCAATTTTAATTTGGCCCACTCATCTGCTGCTAAGCTTTCTCAGGCTGACTGAAGTGTATAGGAGTTTGGTTCTAGAATGATACTTCTCAACTTTGGCAACTTTGGACTTCGTCTCCCAGAATTCTCCAGCCAATTGCCCAGAAACACTGTAATACGAGTGTAGATAGAAAATCAATAATCAGGACAGTCCTTCGCAAAAAAAGAATCTCCTGGAAATGTGTTGGACTCCATCTCCCCCTGTGGCCAATTTGGAGCAGCCAGTCCCAAAGCCAATTAATTTTCAAAAACAACCTTGTACCCAACAGCCATCCACAATTGCATTTGCTTGCACCCGCCCTGTTTTTTTTTTTTTGCATTTTAATTTCTAACCCATTCTCCCTACTGCCTCCATTTTCGAAACCCCACATTTTTTTTTGTTTATTTCCTGAAAAAACGCAACCGCCTGGATGTTTCTCTCCAGCTGCTTTTGCAAAGTTTTTGTCCCTTTTCAAAGGGAACACCCTTTTTTACTCTGTTTTTCAAACTGGGCAACTTTTAAGGTGCTGTGGACTTCTTCTCACCTCCCACAATTCCCCTGGGAGTTTGGTGTCCACAATCTTAAAAGTTGCCAAGTTAATTGGTTAATCAAGTTAACCAATTGTCAAGTGAATTGGTTTATCCCAGGGGTCTCCAAACTTGGGACCTGACTTGTGGACTTCAACTCCCAGAATTCCCCAGCCAGCCATACTAACCCTAACCCTAACCCTAACCCATACTGGCTGGCTGGGGAATTGTGGGAGTTGAAGTCCACAAGTCTTAAAAGGTCCCAAGTTTGGAGACCCCTGGTTTATTCCATGACAAATAAATGCCTTCACCTCAAATGCCCAACGTCAGTTTAAATTAATCAAGAGCCATCCTTCCAGCAACCATCAATTGCCGACAGCCTCTTTTTTAGCCCTAACTAAAAATAATTTCTGTCTACCAGGCAAATCCACTGAGGATTCCTGAGGGGGGGGTGAGTAAAGAATGGGGGGGGAGGCTCAGATCTCCCTCCTTCCCGGTGTGCTTTTGGCACCTTCCTTCCTTGAAAATCTCCTTAGCAACGCCGATGCTTCACGTCCTAACCTGACACGTCACAGCGCGTTGGGCGGTGGGGGGGAGGGGGGGGGAGAGAAACGACAGTTTAAAAACACATCTCGAGATCGGGCGGGATAACACTCCCCCCCGCCCCCCCGCCTGGCCAACCGCGGAAGCAGCAAGGGAACTCTATAAGCCTTTCCTTGTCATACGTCCCGCGCAGGAATCCGTCCCCTCCGGGTTTTGCGCGGGCGTCGCAAGGGTTAAATCCTTCCGGACAGCCGAAAGGGAGAAGAGAGGGAGGGGGAGGGGAGGGGAGGGGAAAAAAATAAAGAGAAGGGGGGCGCTGTTGTCAAGGCGACGGCTCGGAGTGTTCCGGATCGTACCATTGCGCAGGCGGCGCAGGGAGGTGTGGTGCAGCCCAACCAGGCCCAGCCCAGCCTTCTCCTCCTCCTTTCCTCCCCCCCCTCCGGCTCGAACGCGGCGCCGGGGCCCGGCAGGCAGCGAGCGAGTCGGAACCTGCCGACCGGAGGAAGAGGGCGAGAGGCGGGTCCCCGAGAACGGCGGCGGCGGCGGCAAGAGTCACAACTCGGAGGCGGGCCGCCCCGGCTGGGAAGACAAAGGAGGGGAAAAGGCGGCAGCAGCAGCAGCAGAGCTCCGAGGACGGAGTCGCCCGCGGGGCTGAGCACGATGCGGCGTGGGGCCGCCCGAGGCCGGGATCGAGGCCTGGCGTGGCGCGGCTAGAGGAGGAGGAGGAGGAGCGAGGGCGGCGGCGGCGGCCGAGGCCTGACGGACTTCCCTTCGACCGAGCCCGCGATGATGATGTGAGGGCCGGAGGGCCGGAGGGCGAAGGCGCCGAGGCTGGGTCGAGCGGCGCAAGGACGCCGGGCCCGAGGCGGCGCCGCGCGGCGGAGGCGATCCGGGCCCGGGCGATGGAGACGCACGTCTCGTGCCTGTTCCCGGAGCTGCTGGCCATGATCTTCGGCTACCTGGAGGTGCGCGACAAGGGCCGGGTGGCGCAGGTGTGCACGGCCTGGCGGGACGCCGCCTACCACCGCTCGGTCTGGCGGGGCGTGGAAGCGAAGCTGCACCTGCGCCGGGCCAACCCGTCTCTTTTCCCCAGCTTGGCGGCTCGGGGCATCCGCCGGGTGCAGATCCTGTCGCTGCGGCGGAGCCTGAGCTACGTGATCCAGGGCATGGCGGAGATCGAGAGCCTCAACCTGAGCGGCTGCTACAACCTCACCGACAACGGGCTGGGCCACGCCTTCGTGGCCGAGATCGGCTCCCTGCGCGCTCTGAACCTCAGCCTCTGCAAGCAGATCACCGACAGCAGTTTGGGCCGCATCGCCCAGTACCTCAAAGGCCTGGAGGTGCTGGAGCTGGGCGGCTGCAGCAACATCACCAACACGGGCCTCTTGCTCATCGCTTGGGGCCTCCAACGTCTCAAGAGCCTCAACCTGCGATCCTGCCGCCACCTGTCCGATGTGGGCATCGGGCACTTGGCCGGCATGACCCGGAGCGCAGCCGAAGGTTGCCTGGGGCTGGAACAGCTGACGCTGCAGGACTGCCAGAAGCTCAGCGACCTCTCCCTCAAGCACCTGGCCCGGGGGCTCACTCGCCTGCGGCAACTCAACCTCAGCTTTTGCGGGGGGATCTCGGATGCGGGGCTGCTGCACCTGTCACACATGAGCAGCTTGCGCACGTTGAACCTACGCTCCTGTGACAACATTAGCGACACAGGTATCATGCACCTGGCCATGGGCAGCTTACGCCTTTCAGGCTTGGACGTCTCCTTTTGTGACAAAGTCGGAGACCAAAGCTTGGCCTACATTGCACAGGGACTGGATGGCTTGCGCTCTCTCTCCCTTTGCTCTTGCCACATCAGCGACGAGGGCATCAACCGCATGGTGCGCCAGATGCATGGACTGCGCACCCTCAACATTGGCCAGTGCGTCCGCATCACTGACAAAGGCCTGGAGCTTATCGCGGAGCACCTTAGTCAGCTGACGGGCATTGACCTTTATGGCTGTACCCGCATCACTAAAAGAGGCCTGGAGCGCATCACTCAGTTGCCCTGCCTCAAGGTGCTCAATCTGGGACTCTGGCAAATGACTGAGAGTGAAAAAGTAAGGTGAGAGGAGGGGACACCCGGAGAGCCCCATCCCGCCGGAAGGATTCACCAACTGACTGCTGCAGTAGAGAAAAGTGGAGGGGGAGGAGGCGGTAATCCTCCACGAGGGGTTGGGGGAAGGAAGGGAAAGCATCTTTCAGCCTTCCATCCTTCCGAGGTTGGTAAACTGAAGAGCCAGATTGTTGGGGGTAATATGCTGACTCTGTAAACTGCTTAGAGAGGGCTGTAAAGCACTGTGAAGTGGTATATAAGTCTAAGTGCTATTGCTATTGCTATCTTGGCTACTTGCCTGCCTCTGTGCCCGCACAATGGAGGTGAGAGAAAGGGGGACCATACAGGTAGTTCTCAAGTTAGGACCATAATGAAGCCTGCCCATCGTGGTCATAACTGCATGATGGTTATAAAGTGGATCTCCTGATTTGACAAGCTTCTTTGCAGTGTGGGTCATCCGAATCTGTTGTTATTAAGCAACTCAGTAGTCTTCTGTGGGCTCGGGTTTGCCGAAAACTGGAAGCAAATGCGGGTTTTTCAGCAAAACTCTTGTAAAATAGGGTCACGTGACTGCGCCCCCTTGCAAATCCGCCATAAATGCGGCCGGTTGCTGAGCTGAGTACCATCACATGCCCGCAGGGGGTGGGTGGCAGCCAGAACTTCGAACATAGGTCTTAAGTATACCCCAGTTAGTCCATTGGAACTTCAAACGGTCTCTAAGCAACTGGTCATAAGTTGAGGACTACCTGTACTTCTTTTCCTAATTCCTTCCTCTGCATTAGAGGGAGACAACTGCACTGTACAGCAGCCTTCCGTGTGGGTGGATACAGTATCATTTTTTTTATTGGAAATGCAGCTTCTTAATCGTTTATGCACTGGGGATGGACGCAGCCCCTCTACCCCAATCTGATTTCACTTACTTCTGCACTAGGGATAAAAGAATCCTACCCTATACCCTTTCTAATTTCATGAGAACCTGCCTTTTATTGGGCAAATTGTCTCGTCTTTTTCTAGTCCCTTTCGCCTATGCTTGTCCATCAACCCCCTCACCGTGCTTTTTGTAGCGTGCCATCCTTTTCTTAATAACGTAGGCAACCTGTAGATATCAAATTGACTTGGGCATTGCCTTATACCAACTCAAGCCATTGGCCTTTCTTAGCTCAACAGACTGGCAGAAAATTTCCTGTCTGAAAAGGACAAGTCTTTCCTGACCCTAATTGTTCTACCTCTCCTAAACCCTAGAACTCTTGTGTGTTCCCCCATTCCCCACTTTTCTGCTTTTTTTCCAATTTGAGATTAGAAACATTAAGCCTTTTTTATTGAGAAGAGAGGCTTTTCTGAAATGCCATTAGTTGGAATGCCAACTAGAGCATGTGTTCACTTTGCTCATTGTTGCTTAGAGGGCCACATTTCCCTCAGAAACTCATTTTATGCTGTATCCAACCCACATCATCACCATCTTTTCTTTGCTGCTGGAACCATTACAAAATTGAATCATCTTTTTACTTTTTTTTTAGTTTGTTTCTGTGGCTTCCCCTCCCCCCTACTTATTTCATCTTTTGGGGAAACAGATCTTTTTTTAAAAAAAACAAAAAAACAGCCACAATTTCATTTTTGGGAGGATTGGAGGCAGAGTGATGGAATTAATCATCACCAGAAATGCAACAGAATGCCTTCTACAGCCCTGCAACCCTCCCTCCCTCCCTCCCTCCCTCCCGCCCTTTATACCTTAGCTGTTTTTATTTGTTCTCTTATCCTCTTCATCCATGGAATAAGTTTGAAAGACAGCTGAAGTGGCTACCCTTGTGAATTTTAACTCAAGTCTACTATTGCTATATAAACATTTGGCTACCTCGGGTTTGGGTGGTTGTTTTTTTCTCCTTCCCTCAACCTTGGAATGTTTATGAGAAAGTTGAAACTGAAATATGTTGTGCCTAGACTGGTAAGATTTCCCCTGGGGTTTATGATTTTGGAGGGGGGAATAGGAAGAGGAGAAGGAAAAGTGACTAGGAAATTTTGTCCCTGTCTGTCACCTATAAACTTGATGCCTCTTCCTTTTTTGACTAGTTTTGGAAACCCACCAGTGCGTTTGTGTTCTCACTCTTATAGCACAAAGACATGGAAACACGGGGATGTCCAAATTAGTAATTGGGCAATGATGAAAGAAATGTGAAAGTAGGAACTCTTGTTTCTTTAAATATATGCAAACTCATGCCTTCCCTTCTCAAATTACTTTAGATCAAAGTAGGTAGCTTCCAGTAAGGAAGTGCCCAAAGAGGAGCAAGCAGAACAGACTGACTTGAAGTTGACTTTTGCAACTGCAAGTCAACTTCTGTTCTGCCTTTAAAATAAAAGCCACTTCTTAATGCTTGTCTTTAAAGGAGGATCAAGACAACTTTGAAGAAAGCAAAATTGATGGGGGAGGAAGGGCCAGTGTAGATTCTTCCAGTTCTCTTACAGTTCTAGGAAATGTGAAATTTGGATAAGCCCAGAAACTACAGCCCCCATCATGGAATAAATGTACTGTTTATGAATTTGTATAAAATTAAAGATCCTCTTAAAACATTTTATATTCTTACAGTAAAAGGCTAAACTGATATTTATATAATAAAAAAGGAAATATGAAGTATGTTTTTTAAAAAAAAATGTTGCATGTGTGTCTTTGTCCTTTAAAAGGTAGGAATATCCAAAGTTGTGAGGAGAGTTGTGGTCCCCTCCTTCCTTGGTTAATGAGCAATTTGGTCTAGTGAATCAAAGCCACTGGAAGGCTTTTGTCCTTCGAGCATAAAAGGTTAAGTAACTTCCAAATTAGAAGTTCACTGTTCAGCAAATGGTTTGGTTTGAAAGGATCTTTAGAACTTCTAGATTGTCCTACCTGTACATAACAATTTGTACCTGCCCTGCCGACTAATAGTTTTTAGTGCACTGTTGGGCAAATGCCTCCTGGCATAACAATGAAACGCACTGTCTCAGTTCCTAAGAACAACATGTAGTTTTTCCTTTTAGTTTGTTACACAATAAGTTGAGTGAATTTGGAGAAACTCGGGGATGGTTGGAATATTTGTAATCCAGGCTTTCAAATAAAAATAAATGCCAAATTTGGATGTTAAAATAGCCTAAATTGGATTGGGGAGGTCTCTTCGTACTCCTCTGTGACTTTTCCTCTTGATAGCAGTTTTTTTTTCCTAAACTTCTCCACCGAAGGTTTTTAAACAACTGGGAGGAAGGTTAAGTAGTATTTCCAGAGTATAATACAAAATACTAATTCACCCCCTCCCCGTGCAGCATTTTTCTCTCCCCTTTATTAATAATCTAGGGATGGCGGTAAGGGGGGGGGTTAGAGAATTTGAAATGGTGGAAAGAGGCAAATCTATTGTTCAGTAAAGTTAAAAAAAGGAGCTGTCCTTGCTTGCTTGTTCAGTCATGCAGACTGAATCGTGCTGTGCGAGGGTCCCTATGGAAGAGAGGAGGGGTGGCTATTTTCCTTTTTTTTCTTTTCTTTTTTTTAACATTCCTCTCCAGGCCTGGCTGTCTTTTAAGCTGCTTTTCCTCTGGGGGAGGGGGAGGGCCTGGAGTTCCTGTACATTTGCATTTCAAGGGCTGTCTCAGGCCGGGTCTGTGATGCATTGACGCAGTTCTCCAAAGCCTCCCCCGTCTTCCCTCACTCACTCCAGGTAAGTCCGTGTCACAGGTGTGTGTTTGGGGAAACCAATGCTTCTTCAGCACAACCCTCTAGGGCAGTGTCCCCTTAATACCTGAACTTCCAGTGTTTCAATACTGGAGAAAAGAAGATGACCATTTTTCACCTTTAAAAGAAGACAAAGGAGATGGGGAGAGGAGACATTTGTCCAGGAATTCTGTTGTTGCCTTAAAGAGAAAGTGAGAACTGCAGCAGTCTTTTTCCAATCTTCTCCAATCTAGTATCTTCCCAAATGCAGAAGTTGTGCTTCAACTTTAAAAAAAGATGTCGGGGTGGTAATGGTGGAATTATGGGAATTGAAGTCCCAACATAGACTTCAACTCCCATAATTCCTATCCACCATCACCACCCCCACATCTTTTTTTTTTAAGTTGAGGAAGGCTGGCCTAAACTGCTGCTTTTATTTAAAACCTTCCATGCTTTCTGTTGGGAGCTGGTCACAAAAGCTGCATTGTTCTCATTGGCAAAAGCCAGCACAATTGGATCTAATTGAGCCTGACACTACATCCATCTTCTTTTACTTGGAGGGAAGTGCAAGGGCTGCTTCTATCCCGCCCCCTTGGCCTCTGGGTGGGAGTTTTTAAATTTATAATACATCTGTGGCTGAAGAAAATATGAAGCCTATTAAAATAAGGCTTGACCTGAGCCACAGTCTGTCAATGGTAGACAATGCAGGACTGAGTTTTTTTTAAAAAAAAACCAACAGAAACAGTTCAGGCTTTTGTATAAAGTATGTTTAGTTTGGCAGATCGGTTATATTTTAAAATAAATTGTACCGAATCTTAAAAGTGATTTGGACTCGGCAAGCTAGGAAGTTGTGGGAAGTTAATTATACATACAGCACTTTTCATGAAACGGTTCCATTTCACGTTCTTTCTGTGAAACAGTCACTGTTGGCACCAGCAGTTCTAACATCAACAATGTTTTTTTTTAAAACCCCCCAACAAATTTTTGTAACTTCAAATGTTGCATTTATAGTGATAATGTGGTTGCTCAGTTGTTTTGTAGCTCAGTGTCTTGTGTGTACCCGCCGTCAAAAACTATGATTATGAATTCGCACATGCAAACTCAAGTCAACTGTGGCTTGGGCTTACTTATCAGACAAATGTTAATTGGTTTATTAATCACATTTATAGACCCCTGCAGTCCCAAACTACTCTTCACAGTTTACCAAGAGTGCAGCAGCTGCCAGAAAAGCCAACACAGTTCTAGGCTGCATAAACAGAGGGATAGAATCAAGATCATGTGAAGTGTTAATACCACTTTATTATGCCTTGGGAAGGCCACACTTGGAATACTGCATTCAGTTTTGGTCGCCTCGATGTAAAAAAGATGTTGAGACTCTAGAAAGAGTGCAGAGAAGAGCAACAAAGATGATTAGGAGACTGGAGGCTAAAACATATGAAGAACGGTTGCAGGAACTGGGTATGTCTAGTTTAATGAAAAGAAAGACTAGGGGAGACATGATAGCAGTGTTCCAATATCTCAGGGGCTGCCACAAAGAAGAGGGAATCAAGCTATTCTCCAAAGCACCTGAAGGCAGGACAAGAAGCAATGGGTGGAAACTAATCAAGGAGAGAAGCAACTTAGAAGTAAGGAGAAATTCTAAGATAAAAATACAACACCAAGCATCCACAATATAATTAAAAATACAGTAAAATACATATAACAAAACTAATCTATAAACCCAATCAGGATGGTATTATCGTCCAAATTGCCCTCCCAAAGAGGGTTCTACATGGGGCTGTTTTTAAAGACCACCTAGAATGGGTCCCCAACCCCCCCCCACAGCGGTCCATGAACCAGCCTCGGTCAGCGGCATGCCAGAAACCAGGCCATGCAAACAAGTAAAGCCCCATCCACGGGATGCAGGCAGCATACGAAACCACACCTGGACAGAGAGCTCTGATGTTCCTGGCACCTTTTGGAGCCACTCTCCCAGCTTAAGAGTCACGGCTTCAAGTGTTCTTACACCCCTAGGACTAATTAATTTTTTACTTTCCACATCTTCACTAGTTCATCTTTCAGACGCTGGTATTTCCTCAGTTTCTCATACTATCATGGCTGCTGTCTTCTGCTCCTTGGCCACTAGAACAGAGGTCTTCAATCTTGGCCACTTTATGACTTGTGGACTTCAACTCCCAGAATTCCTCAGCCAGTCCACAAGTCATAAAGTGGCCAAGGTTGGAGACCCCTGAACCAGAACGATATCTGGATGATTGGCCAATAGTTGCCTCTCCATTTGGAGCAGGAAGTCCCACAGGATCTTAGCTCTGTTATCCTCCACAATTTTCTGTGGAATCGCCCATCTGGACTTGGAAGGATCTAGCTCAGATACTCTGCAGATGTTTCTGTACACAATGCCAACTACTAGGTTGTGCCATTCGGTGCACGCTGTTCCTTTCTGCATCTTACACCCTGCCACAAGCTTATGCATTGTTCTTTTATTGACATATTCTGTGCAAAAACAAAATGCCTCGGCTATTCTTCGCTGCATATATACGTGCGCTTACACAGACATTTTTAAAATCAAATGCTGCAATATGGAGCTGAAAAAATGGGAGAACAGGCAAGGTTGCTGCATAGAATCTCAATTTACTTGGGATTGAAATGTCCCCGAAAATGCAAGATATAATAATGAAATAAATGAAGAAGTAGCTCTGAATCTGATGGCCTGAGAAGCAGAATGTGTGAGATGACTGAATCTGGTAAGAGGCCGTGTGGTGTAGCTGCTAAGTTGAGAAATCTTCAGTTGAAATCTTTGGGTAGCCAATGGTACTTTCTTGGCTGCAATGCTGAGAATACGTTAATGGTCTGAAAACCCACTGAAATTAGGAGGCCTATTGGTTATACAAGAGTTTCCCAACATTGGAAACTTTAAGAAGCGTAGACTTCAACTCCCAGAATTCCCTAGCCAGCATGCTGGCTGGGGAATTCTGGGAGTTTAAGTCCATGTGTGTTAAAGTAGCTGAGGTTGTGAAACCCTGTGTTAATGGAGATTCTCAGTGATCCAGGTCATGGTTGTCCCAAAGGTACTTTTTCAAAAGGCAACTGGACTTTCTTTGTTTTTCCTTGAAGATGTTTCACTTCTCATCCAAGAAGCTTCTTCAGTTCTGACTGAATGATGGAGTGTGGAAGGATTTATGTTCCTTGCAGTCATCTGATCATTAGCACTCTTTCTGGGAATCATTGAGGCCACTTGGAGGTTTATCTGTGTCCTCAGGTCATCTGAATAGTGCAAATGACTATGGAAACTTCTTGGAACTGTTGAAAGAGCACATCAATGAGGCCATCTATCTTAAGATTGAACAGCCCTCTCTCAACAGGTGGGGGAGAGATACGACACCACCTGTCTCCTGTTTACAACACAGTTCTTTCAGCAGTTCCCAGAAGGTTCCACATCCATTTGCACCCTGAGGGCACAGATAAACCTCCCAAAAAGGTTTATCTGTGACTCCCAAAAAGAGTGCTAACAACCAGATGACTGCAAGGAAGATTCCATTCCTGTTGTGGCCCACCAGCGGCCTGCACGGATTGTGGCTGATCCCGATGAGGAGGAGGCTGGTGTGGTGTCGCGCCAGCAGCCTGTGCAGCCGGCGCTCAAGTCGGACAGCGAGGAGGCTGAAGAGGATGAGGTGCCAGAGGCAGAGACTCAGCCAGGGCCTTCAGAACCTCCAGAGGCTCCTTCAAGTGAAGAGGAAGAAGTGGAGGAGCATCTTCTCAATGTTCAAGCACGCAGGGCTGCCAAAAAGCAGGAGTGGCTACTCAGGAGGAGGTGGTCTCCTCGAGAGTAAGGCTTGAGGATAATTGGCCACTCCCTTAGCCTATTTAAGTTCGCTCACAGATAGCACACGCTGCTGGAAAC